CATCTGCTGCGTGTGCTCCATATCCAAAACTTTCTGGGCATGTTCAGCATCTAGCTCAGCTGAGTGTGAAACAGAAACAAACATAAAATGTTGTGTATACATCCTCTTGAAAGTCTCAGAATTTTAATGTTACTAAGTTCAATACCGCCAGACTGTTACTACAGGCTGTTAAAACAGGTTGTTGTTAAAGGAGGCTTCTGCACTTTGCAAATATATTTTAGAACTGACAGAGTAAGAACATCGTACTAGATACCATTAATCATAACTATCTGTCTTGAGGCAGGATGAGGATTTCCTCAACTGAGTGAACTAAACCACCTGAATGTAATACCTACCAGTGATCAGGACTTCCAAAGTCTGCTGGAAGAAAAATACATCTGTGACACTTTGCTATTGTGCAGACATAATCCGTGCAAAATTTATAGTCTTAACTTGAATACCACAGAATATTTACACCACAATCCATCAGTAATACAAAACACACACATATGTGTGTGTGGGGGGGGTTATATAATCATGTACATATATATATACAAAACCCTGCATATCTCTATGTATACACACACGTGTATAAATGTTGTTTATTCACTCTGCCGAGAGACTGGACAATACTTTAAAGAAGATTCTAGATAGAGGGCAGCTATGTATCCACATAAGCTGTGAAGGCAGTCTAGTCAGCATGTACTGATGTTTTGCAGGTCAAACAGTTCTGTTTTCAAAGGCAACACGGCAGAGCCACTGATACCAGTAGAGGGGGTCTTCTCTGAGTACAACAGCTGATGCTGGCCACAAAGCGGCAGAACAAAATGCTCTGGTAGCTACTAAAGCCCTGAGCTGAGCCTGAACACACTTGGAATATGCTTTAGGGAAGAAATGCTTTTTAGCAGGAGTGCATCTATATTGGAAACATTGCTCTCTGAATTCTCCATCTATTTCTCTAAGCTGGTCTCAAGAGCTCTCTGCTCACAACAAGACAGAACTTGCTAGCAGAGCAGCTGATGGGAAAGGGAGGGAGGAGGGCGGTGGGAAGAGCTGCCTGGTCTGAGCTGTTGTGCCCGACAGGGGAAGCTCCGGACACTGCTGGCTGAAAAGCGGCCAAGTTTCCACACACGAGGCGGCCGCATGAGAATACGGCACCTGTATGGACAAATGCTGCAAGGGCAGAAGCTTCTCTAGAACGAGCCGCACATGAGTCTTTCGGGGAAAATGCTACATTAATGGCGTTTTAAGATAAAGACTTAATTAAAAGCATTTACCACTTATGGAGATTATTGCCCAAATGCAAAACATGTTTTATTACAGCAGGCTAGACCATTAAGAGAGTAGAAATTTCACTCTGTAGCCTGCGTCAAGGTCACAGCCATGGTTATAGTTCACGTACAGAAGCAACCGTGCTGTGATACTTGCTGAAAAGAGCTATAAAATTGGACTGACACACCATACAGCCATTAAACCATCAGTAAATAAGCTGGAACCTTTTTCTTAAAGCAAATTTGCGAAGTAAAACACCTGTTTCGGAAAGGAAAGCATTTTCGTCTCAGCCAACCCATCATTATTATCAATTACGCAGTGGCACACAGCAATTCCGTACGCCCCGGGGCAGCTCCGCTGCGACGATGCCGAACGATAAGCAGTTATTAATAACACCACACATGAGGCAGAGATGCCATTCAGTTGTAATAACACGAGCCAGCGGCTCTCACTGACTACAGTGATTTCCTGCCTTTCCCATAATATTTTCTGACAGCTTTGCACTCTATATGGTAGTTTTTAACCTAAAAACAGACCTAGGATTATCCAAGCAACATATGAAATTTATATGACTTCCTTCTTAGGACTTCACCCCTGCTTTTTTCTCTTTTGCCTAAAAATGTCCTGTTAACTACTGAAATCGCCACTGGCCAAAGCTAAATGGCAACAGTTGTGGGCTGTGCTACCATATTCTAATCAAACTCAAAATACTCAAAGAGAAGAGTTGCAGGATGTCTGTCCCCCAACTTCCATTACAGGAAATTAACACAAAAGACCTCGTTGTGCCATGTTGTGCTCTACCAGAGACAATAAAAACCTGCTCAGCTCAGCAAAAGCCAAGTGATGCATCTGCCATTTGGGTTTGCTGACGGTACATGAAGCTAACGGGGGAACGTGGGAGCAGAAAATAAGGGTATCATTTGTCTGCAAAGCTATTCAGAGTACACTGGTTCATGTAATCATAGAATCATAGAAAGCTTAAGGTTGGAAGGAACCTCTAGAGGTCATCTAGTCCAACCCCCCTGCACACACAGGGTCACCTAGAGCA